TGACAGGGTCCCTGCACCACTGACATCCACCAGGTGGCCAGGAAAGGGGCCCTCCTGAGCAGAGCAGCCACCCAGAGAGGCCGCCCTGGCCCTCCTGCACAGCCTCACCCCCACAAACAGCAGCACAGACAAGAGAAAGAGCAAGGACACAGATGCCAAAGCAATGACCAGGTACAGAGTGAGTGAGTCTTCCTCCTGGGCCAAGTCGCGCGCCACCTCAGGAAGAGGCAGGTAGGGCTGAGAGAAGCCATCCACCACCAGCACATGCAGAGTGACACTGGCAGACCTCTGAGGATCGCCATTGTCCTTGACCACCAGCAGCAGCCTGTGCTTGGGAGCATCGCGCTCGCTCAGCAGCCTGGCAGTACGCACCTCGCCATTGTGAGCCCACACGCTGAACAGCCCTGGCTCTGTGGCCTTGAGTAGTTGGAATGACAGCCAGGCATTCTGGCCAGAATCGCGATCCACTGCCACCACCTTGGTGACTAGGTAGCCTGGCTCTGCCGCCCTGGGCAGCAGCTCAGTGCAGGGCGCAGAGGCATTCTGCAACGGGTAGAGCACGAAGGGCGCATTGTCGTTAGCATCCAGCACAAGCACATGCACCAAAGCCTGGCTGCTGAGTGCAGGCGAACCTTGGTCAGTGGCGCCCACGTGGAACTCGAAGGTCTGCAGGGACTCATAGTCCAGAGCCCTGAGCGCAAACAGCTGTCCGTTGTCTGCATTGATGGAGATGAGCGAGGAGAGGGCCAGCTGCGGGTCGTGGGTGGGCAGCAGCGAGTAGGTGATGTGGGCATTGGAGCCTGAGTCTGAGTCTGTGGCGCTGATGGTGCCTATGTGCAGGGCGGGGCTGTTGTTCTCCTGGACAAACAGGGTGTAGGAGGTTTGTGTGAAGGCGGGGGCGTTGTCGTTGACATCGGACACCTGCACTGTTATGGTGTACTGGGTTGTGAGCCTGGGTGTGCCCATGTCGGTGACTGTGATGGTGATGTTGTACTCAGCTCTGCTCTCTCTGTCCAGAGCTCCTTCTGTTACCAAGGTGTAGAAATGTTCTTCAGTAGGTTTCAAGAGGAAGGGAAGATGGTCTTGGATGGAGCAAACCATTTTCCCGTTCTCTCCAGAGTCTGGATCTGAAATTCCAAAGATCGCCACTACAGTTTCAGGAGCGTTTTCTGGAATGTCACTGATAAGCAATGACATGCTGAGTGCAGGCGCGTTGTCATTTACATCTGTCACATCTATTACTACCGTGCATTTTCCTGAAAGACCTCCCCCATCAGAGGCCTCGATTTCCATGTGATAAGACTGAATTTCCTCAAAGTCCAATGGTTTTCCTATTCTAATTTCTCCGGTGTCTGTATTTATTTCAAAAGCCTGAAGAACTTGATTTGAAGCTTGAAAAAGCGAGTAGGACAGCTCCCCATTTGTCCCAGCGTCTAAATCTTTTGCGGACACAGTGAGGACAAGTGAGCCCACGGGGCTGTTCTCTTGTACCTGCACCTCATAGAGCCCTTGGGCAAATTCTGGGGCATTGTCATTAATGTCCAGAACCATGACGAGAACCTGGGTAGTCCCAGTCTTTGGGGGTGACCCACCGTCCTGAGCTGTGAGTGTTAGTCTAACCTCTGCCTGCTTCTCCCTGTCCAGTGCGTTGTTCAGCACCAGCTCAGGGTATTTCCTGCCATCGTTGTGATTGCGGGTGAGAAGGTGGAAATAGGAGTTGATGCTGATGGTATAGTTCTGAACCGTGTTGCTACCCACGTCCAAATCTTGAGCTATTTTCAATGGAAACTTGGCCCCTGGATGGCTGCTTTCCACGATTTTAAGGAGAATTTCATCTTGCAGGAATTCTGGGGCATGATCGTTAACATCTTGGAGCTGTATTTCCCCTTGAATAAATTGCACTGGGCTTTTTAGTAACACCTGAAAATGTAGGATGCATGGCTCCATGGTCCCACATAACTCCTCCCGATCCAATTTTTCTTTCAGAACCAAATTTCCACTCTTCTGTTCCAGCTGCAAGAGCTGTTTGTTCCCTTTGTTAAGAATCTGAGCGCCCCTGGTGACCAGATCCCTTAAGCCCAATCCCAAATCTTTTGCTAGGTTGCCCACCAAAGAACCCCTGTCTGTTTCCTCTAGAACCGAATACTTAATGGTCGCACTGCCTGCCTCCCACAATAGTAACATAAAGACAATGGCGGTCACTTGCCTTTTCAGTAGAGCCTTGTGGAGTGGTGTCTCCATCATTCCTCGGGGCCAAAAGATGCAGCAGCTACTCATACTGTGAACAACTCAGGAATCTTGGCTCAATAATTTTGGGCTTCTTTTCTGTTTAACGTTGCTGGACACGGTGTGTCTGCCTCTCAGAAGGGGTCTATCGGCAGAAATGTAAAAAACTTCCTTCCTAGGCGGCGGCAAGAAATGGCTCTGCTTTTACCCGCAGGCTTTCTGCAGGTTTTCGTTTTCTTAACCTGCAGCGCCACCAAGCGTTCTGTTTTACAACTTCAGATAATGTTTCAAAGTGCTCTCTCTTTAAGGGCTAAAATGCCCACCTTTCGGGTCAAAATGTTCTGTTCTCTCTTTTCTCGCTCCTTTCTCCCTAAGCTTCATTTTGAAGCCTTGCTATAGATAATCCGTGTTAGAAAAATATGTTTCTTCCTCATAAAGTTACAAACTCGTACAGAAATCTCTGCAGAGACTGTCATTCATTTAACAATTGCTTTTCTGTATAGGTATTCAGTTTCTGATCATAACGCCATGGAGGAAACACATTTTTTTTTTTTTTTGCTCTTGGAAGAGCAAAAGAATTCTATTATAAAAATTGATATTTTTTCTGTTTGTAAGTACAAAATTATTTTTAAAATTACAACTTCTAACTAGCAACTGCCAATGTGCTTATAACTCATGAAGGGAAACAAAAAGGCAAGTTTTGTTTGTTTGTTTTTCCTCTCTATAGGGGACAGTCTTAGGACCTTTCCTTTGTAAGGAAATGTAAGGTCATATATGTTATGACCAATAAAATTGAATGGAGATGCTCACTTGTTTTATAAGTAGCCAGTCTGGCTAAGAGTTCAACTGTCTTTTCTACAAATATGAAAAAGATAATGAAGTCAATAAAGTAAAAATGATTCTTTCTGGGGAAGGATTTGACCTATGTGCCTTGAGTAGGGGATCTTTGGGCTGTGGAAACTGTGTAACTGAAAAACACTGAAGTTCCAACAAGAGCTGTGTGAAAGAAACCCCCCCCAAGAATAAGGATGCTATTTGAGGGACAGGGCAAGTATTCCATAATCCCAAAGAGCAAATGTTTCCTTTGGCCATTATAGTTCACTTTGATTAAGGTTAACAGTAAAATATATACCCATCACCTTAAGATAATTTATCTTCCTTTGATAGAAATTTGAAAAGAATATTTTTCAAAGGATAATGGCAACTATAACCTACAAAACATGACTGAATATAAATGTCTTTGTAGTTAATAAATGATATTAATAGAATGTTAGAAAAGAATTGTGGATACTTGAGAAAAGGAAGGTAAAATTTGGAAAATATAACTTGAATTTGACAAAATAACTTTAAACTCTTAAATTGTTAGACAAAAACAAGATAAGATAAAATGTGCTCTCCTGAAATTTATGCTCAACAAAATGTAGCATGTGTAGAAAGATGCTTTCTATATTGAAGGAAAAAAAGATAATCTCAGTAAGCAATATTGTTTAAATTTTTAGCTAATTGTAATTAAAATAAAAATTTCACTCATTTACAAAGCACATTGGAGAGATATTAGTATTTTTGTAGAATGTGTATATTTAAAAAAAACTGTTGGATGTTTCAGCAAATATTTATTCAGCATTTGTAAATAATTTGATGCTAAAAGACCATACTATTCTTACAGAAGGTTCACAAACTATTGATAGCTTAGTAAAATCTATATTTAAGAAATATGTAACTTTCCCCATGGAGGGATAGTCCCTTAACCTAGAGACAGGAGAAAAGGCCTAGTCCCTACTCCAAATGACTTGACAGATTTAGATGACCCCTCCTGGAAGGCACCATGCTACATGTGGAGTGGGAGTGGGTAGGAGGGGAGGGTGGTTGGGGGGCATGGGAGGTTGGGAGAGAGGGAAAGAGGGAAGGAAGGAGAGGGAACTGGGGTTGTTATGTAAAATAAAAAGAAAAAAGTAAAAAAGAAATATGTAACTATTAAAATAAACTAAAACATAATTATACATAAATAAGGTATGTGTCTTAGCACTTAGATTTCTTTACTTTTATATTTAGAGGTGCACATGATAACTAGCTACCCTAAAATGAGACTAAATTTGCAAAATTCAGTAATATCAAATATCCCCACTTAAAACTAATAGGGAAATTAATCACTTGTTTGAAATGCAATCTCAAGGGTTGTACATGATAATATTTTTAAAACATTATTTGATTTCAAATTTTACTGAAAAAAATACTTTTAGGTTGTCAAATGCAGGTTAGTGCCACTAATTTAAAAAAACAACTGTGAAGCATAATAGAGAGGTTTGTGGAATCTCCACAAACTGACTACTTAGAAATACAGTATTGGCTGGGTAGTGATGGTTCACTCCTTTAATCCCAGCAATAGGGAGAAGAGGCAGGCGAATCTCTGAATCGAAGGTCATGCTGATCTACAGAGATAGTTACAGAATAACCAGGGTTACACAGAGAAATCCTGTCTTTAAAAAAAGTGCAACCTCAAGAATAATAGCAACAGGGCAGGCCTGATGAGAGAGGTCTTTAATCATAGTACTAAAGAGACAGAGGCAGGTGGGTCTGTCTGTGTTTCAGGTCAGCCACTCCTGCATAGAAACATTCAGACCACCACATTGTACTAAGTGAGACCATGTCTCAAAATTAGAAATAAATAAGTAAATTGAAAGTTTGGCAATTTAGCTCTGTGATTGAGTTTTCCTAACATGAAGGAGATACTGGATTCCAGTTCCAGGACCTGTTATACAATGTAATATCATAAGGTTCATACAACATCAATAGCATGCACATTCAGTTTAAAAGAAAGCTCTTAGCTTAAACAGAATTTACTACTGTACTACAGTATTTAGATGAATAGGAAGCTATTCCAAAGGGTAGGACTTTCCTCAGTTTTCCTTTCAGACTCCGAAGGAGGGAACTGCGAGTTAATTGCCTTTAGAAATTCGAACCCACCAGTCCCAGACTCTCCCCTCAGGCACACCTCATACTGGTAGCTCTGGGACAAGGTCCGGGCACCATTGATATCCACCAAGTGACCAGGAAAGTGACCCTCAGGAACAGAGCAGCCACCCAATGAGGAGGCCCTGGCTCTCCTGCACAGCCTCAACCCCACAAACAGCAGCACAGACAAGAGGAAGAGCGAAGACACTGAAGCCAAGGCAATGACTAAGTAGAGTGTGAGCATTTCCTTGTCGTCATGCTCAGGGTCACTTGCCACCTCGGGTAGAGGCAGGTAGGGCTGAGAGAAGCCATCCACCACCAGAACATGCAGAGTGACACTGGCAGACCTCTGAGGATCGCCATTGTCCTTGACCAGCAATAGCAGCCTGTGTTTGAGAGCGTCACGCTCACTCAGGAGTCTGGAGGTGCGCACCTCGCCATTGTGAGCCCACACGGTGAACAGCCCTGGCTCTGTGGCCTTGAGTAGCTGGAACGACAGCCAAGCATTCTGGCCAGAGTCATGGTCCACTGCCACCACCTTGGTGATCAAGTAGCCAGGCTCCGCCACCCTGGGCAGTAGCTCAGTGCAGGGCGCAGAAGCGTTCTGCAGAGGGTAGAGCACGAAGGGCGCGTTGTCGTTGGCATCCAGCACAAGCACGTGCACCAGGGCCTGGCTGCTGAGTGCAGGCAAACCTTGGTCAGTGGCTTCCACGCGGAACTCAAAGGTCTGCAGGGCCTCATAGTCCAGAGCTCTGAGCGCAAACAGCTGCCCGTTGTCTGCATTGATGGAGATGAGCGAGGAGAGGGCCAGCTGCGGGTCGTGGGTGGGCAGTAGCGAGTAGGTGATGTGGGCATTGGAGCCTGAGTCTGAGTCTGTGGCACTGATGGTGCCTATGTGCAGGGCGGGGCTGTTGTTCTCCTGGACAAACAGGGTGTAGGAGGTTTGTGTGAAGGCGGGGGCGTTGTCATTGACATCGGACACCTGCACTGTTATGGTGTGCTGGGTTGTGAGCCTGGGTGTGCCCATGTCGGTGACTGTGATGGTGATGTTGTACTCAGCTCTGCTCTCTCTGTCCAGTGCCCCGTCTGTTTCCAAAGTATAGAAATTCTCTGTGGATGGTCTTACAAGAAATGGAAGATTGTCATCTATGGAACACATAACCTCCTGGTTATTTTCTGAGTCTGCATCTGAAACACTGAATACTGCCACTATGATGCCTGGCAAATTTTCTGGGATGGGGCTGTTGAGTGAGGATAGGATCACTTCTGGAGCATTGTCATTCACATCCAATACCTGCACGACTAAAGAGCACTTTCCGGTTAGCCCACCACCATCTATTGCCTCAATACCCACATGGTAGGACTGGAATACTTCAAAATCCAAAGTGCTTCTCAGTCGAATTTCTCCTGTCTTTGTGTCTATTACAAAAGGCTCGTTAACATCATCATCTTGAAACAGTGCATAAGAAACCTCTCCAAAGGTTCCTGTATCTAAATCTCTTGCTGAGACAGTGATAAGCAGTGTGCCAATGGGGTTGTTCTCTGGAACTTGGACCTCATAAAACTCCTGACCAAATTCAGGAGTGTTGTCATTTGTATCTAAGACAAGTATTTGAATCTCCATGGTCCCTGACCTGGGAGGAGACCCGCCATCCAGTGCAGTGAGCATTAGTCTGAGCTGAGCCTGGTCCTCAAAGTCCAATGCCTTGTCCAACACTAGTTCAGGAAATTTCTTGCCATCGCTGCGGTTGCGAGTGAGTACGTGGAAGTGATGGTTGTCGCTGACAGTGTAGCTCTGAATGCTGTGGTTGCCAGTGTCTAGGTCCTGCGCCATTTTCAATGGGAGTATCTTTCCAGGAGCAGTTATTTCTGATATTTTAAGGAGCACCTCTCTGGCTGGGAACTCTGGGGCGTGGTCATTTATATCTGTAACTCTCAGGGCAGCCTGATAAAACTGCAAAGGATTGTTTAGTAACACCTGGAAAGGCAGCATACAAGGTTCAGTGGAGCCACATAGCTCTTCCCTGTCCAGCTTTTCATTGAGCACCAAATCTTGGGTCTGTGGGTCAAGCTGCAAATACTGCCTGTTCCCCTTGAAAACCACTCTAGCGCCCCGAGCAGCCAGTTCTCCCTCTCTTAGTCCCAAGTCCTTAGTCAAATTGGCCACAAACGTGCCACTTTCTGTCTCCTCCAGAATGGCATACTGAATTGATTCTGAATCCACCTCCCATGAAAGCATCAATGTGATTAAAATCATCACTTGCCTTGTATTGCACCGAGCCTTTTTTGGTGGCATCTCTACTGATACAGGAGGGAAAATCCCTTTCAACTCCTAATCACGGAGGTAGATTTGGTCTTCCGGAAAGTCTTTGCTGAGGAATTTTTGGACTTGATCTTACAAGTCCCTGGTGGCTCCTCTTCTCCGGAATGCTTTTGTCTTAGCTGCAGTAGCAAACGGTTCTGTATTTTGCTTCAGTTTCTGGGCGAAACGGAAATCCAAGGACCCTTAGACTTCTTACTCATTCTTTTAGCCTACACCGCCACCATGTGTTCAAATCAATAACTTCATGAGCTGTTTTCAGATGAACACTGAACATTATAAAGACTGAGCATTATACTTTTATCCAAATCTAAGCATTATAAAGACTTTTGAGTTGAGTCGGTGTTTTTCAAACCAACTGTGTAAAAGGTTTCTTAGGGGTCTTCTTTGTGTGTGCATGCTTGTGTTTTGTTTTTAAGTTGGTTTTCAAGCTCACTCTAGATCTTTAGTCAAATTGCCCGTTGATCTAAGGGGAGTTCATACTTCAATCTCTCACGTGCAGGAACATCTAAGAATCACTCTTCTGGCCATGAAAACTTTCCACAATCAACTTCGATTCTTTAGCAGTGCAACTGATCTTTGTTGAGTTCTGCAAATTCGTGCTTTTGAGGGGTACACGATTAATTGTCCCAATAAGTACACCAACAAATTATTAAAATGCAAAAGTTGATCAGAAACATAAATGTTGAACTAAAGATGAAGTTCTCTAAAATCTATGAGTCTTAAATAGCATGAAAAACAGGCTGTGTTACAAGAACACATGAGAGCAGTAATGGTAATCATAAAGCTATTGAGGGCGAAACTATGGCCAAAAATGTACATATGATAGCAATACCTAAACAAAATGAATAATTTAAAATAGGAATTAGGAGCAATTTATATGGGTCATAAGAACTTTAAGATTTAATTTCATTTCTAAGTGAGTAGAATTGGTCATGGTTTTGAGAAATCTGTTTTGGTATAAACTTTCATTGTACAAAATGTCCTCATGTTGATTGATCAAAGACCAAAGTTATTGTAAGAAATGACATGATGCATAAAGTGACAATTATGCACAGTGGTGCACAACTATAATCCCAGTATGTAGGAGTCCAAAATGGATGGATAGCAAGTTTGAGGGAAGAAAGACCGCTTTTCCAAAAACAACAAACAGAAATGCAGACAATGTCATTGTTATATTCTGTTACTGTCTTGCCTTTTTCTGATAATACGAATTAGAAAGTGTCTTTAAATATCATTTAAAATGTGAGTGAGTACACAGGCAAGAACATAAGATATGTTAAATATGATTGATTTCTGATGGAATTTGTATTCATTTAAAGATAAATACTATTAAGGTGAGAAAACTTTATCTTACATAAGAGCCAAGACAATAGGGAATATATTAAAAATATTTCTAAGTAAAATAAATAGAATTAAAATCTAATGGTTGAAATCACTTTATAGCTAGAAATTGCATATGTGCATCCAACAAAATAAAGAGAATGAGAATATCAATATCACAGTCCTCCAGGGTTTACTCAAAAAACTGTTTCTGAGTATGGACATTTCTTGAGCATGTGAATTACAAATGGGACTAATGGAGTAAAACCCAACAGTCATAAATATTATGGATGGGTTTGGCCATTTCTAGATCATTTCTGAATGTTCCTCTAAATGGTCTCATGGTTAGTCATTGTTGTTGGTTGAACTGGCCTGAGGAGTACCAACAAGATTGGTAAAGCTGACTCCTAAAGTGGGAAATCCCATAGTCTGGAGCCATAATTAGAGAAGAAAAAGGCCACCAAGTAAGCAATCTCTCCTGTGGGTATTTTTCCTTTCATGATGGAAGGAAACCCTCAGTCAAAATAAACCCTTCTTGCTATCTTTCACATTTTGTCAGAGCAGTGGAAGGTCTGACTAACAAGGGGGGTTCTAAGTTCTGATTCCAGTTCAATGGCATACTTATCTCCCAAAGTCCTTTATTTACTCTGTGGCTACAGTAGCAACAGGTGTCTTCAAATGTGGCTTATAAAATATTCCCAATGTCAAAACAAATTTTTAATCAGAATTACAGAATGTGTTGAATTTAATATAGACAAAGAAAATTCCTTTGAAAGGGTTGTTTTTTACATGAGAAAGTATCTTCATATTACTCCCAAAAGATACCAGTTAAGTAGCATGTCAAGAGACTCCCTTTTCATGAAATTACATTTTGTAGTAAATTACATTAGATCTTTACAGAAGAATACACCTCTGCTTGCTCTCCTATTCTTTTAAATAGAGTTGAAAAATCAGACAAGGCAAAAGCCCTCATATTGACCTTGGCTGGGCCAGACAACCCAATAATAGAGAAAGGGCCCCAAGAGCAGGCAAAAGAGTCTGAAACACTTGTTACTGTTAAGAGTCCCACAAAACACCAAGATAACAGCTAGAACATACACAGAGGTCCTGGCACAGAACCATGCAGGCCCTGTGCTTGCCACTTCAGACTCTGAGAGTCCATATGAGTCTTGCTTAGTTGATTTGGTGGGCCATGTTGTCCTCTGACTCCTACGTATTTCCTTCCCCTCTTCTGTGGAGTCCTGAACTCCCAGCTCTGAGCTGATCCAACTATGGCCAATTTCATAAGGTAAAATTTACAGAAATTGAATTTCACCAACCTTGACCATCTTAACAATTGTGGGATGTTGGAAAACTTTAGGGTGAAACAGATGTAAAAAGAAACAAAAAGAATGCCATTCATTAAAGCTAAACTTATTAATCAAACACTAAAAGAACCTTTTTGTTTAATCAGACAAGTACTCAATACAGTGACAGAGATATAAGAACAGAAACTTGAGATCATTTTAAGTGTGCTACTTAGTGCATATAATTAGCAGCCATGACACATTATCTATAGATTATAAAAAATACTTAGTGTACTAAGACTGACAACATAAAATTGAGAAATTAAATTAAGTGAACTTATTAACACTTCTAAAATCTGGGCGCTCAAGATGAAAGAATTGGCAGGGATAATTTTATTGTGGGGTTTCTGGTTTTTCCTCACAGATTGCTTTCTTCCTCTGGTATCTTCACATGATTGTCATCTGTGTTCTCTCTCTCTCTCTCTTCTTCCCTCTTCCCCTCTCTCTACAAACTTTTCTTAAAGACACCAGATCCCTTCTTGTTAAGTTTCTATCATAAACACATATTGTAACATAATAATCTCACTGGAAGCTTTATCTCAGCTGGGCATGGTGGCACACAACTTTAAACCCAACACTTGGGAGGTGGAAGCTGGAGGATCTCTGTGAGTTCTAGTCCAGCCTAGTCTACATAATGAGTTTCAGGTCTTCCAGAACTATGTGGTAATATTACTCTTCAAAAATAGCACCAGAATTAATGGCAGTACATACTAGGGCTTAAATATATTAATCTTGGGCTGCTAACAATTCAACTGACAATAATTAAAAACATCTTAGTAATAAATGAGTTGTTAAAAAGAACTTTTTAAAAGGGTTGAAAGTGCTTTTGAACTGGGAAGAGTTTTGATGGTTGAAAGCACTTAACTACACAAGAGTGAAGACCCAGCCTGGTTCAAACCCCCAAAACTCACATAAGAGCTAGACACCCATGGCAGGAACATCTATATTTCTCAGTTCTCCTTTAAGAACATGGGAGGCAGATATCAGAGAATCTCTAGAAGCCCTGGTGCCAGCTAGGCTGCTACATATAGCAGAAAAACAGCAATGGGACCCTGTCTGAAATAAGGTGGAAGGCTATCTAAAGGTTGTCTTCTGAGCTCCACAAACATCTTGCTTCAAACATGCTTGAACTGTAGACATACACTCAATGGTTGTCAATGAGACCAGGATTTGGGAAGGATCTGAACAAAGTTGTACATGCAGATTTTGCTACTTATACTGTAAGTTGGTACAAACAATTTTGAAAAATAGTTGGAAATATCTACTGAAAGTTTACTTACGGAACTCTACCCCCAAGAAGTGAATGTTCATCACAATTACAAACACAACCTAGCCAAATATATGTATATTTGTACATACATACATACATACATACATATATTTATATATGTTCATAACTTACACCAAGACAAATGAATAACACAGTAAAAAATTGAGACATATTCCACTAGGATAATTTATGTCAATAACAATAAAATAAGATTGAAAACTGGTATTAGGCATACATTTATAAACACAATGTAGAGTGAAACTAGCTTAACACACAGCAGTTGGTACCCTAGAAGGAACCTACATAAACCCCAAAGCGGCAAGACTATACAATTGAAAGTCAGCATGTTTGCTATACTTGGGCCAATAGTGGTTGTAAAGAATCATTTATGTGGCACTTGGGATGTTAGTAATGCTTTATTTTCCCCTGGCATTGATGGCATGATGGATTCTTATCTTGTGTAAAACACATTCAGCTGAACATTAGGGTTTTCTTTATCATCCTATAATTTGAGTTGAAGGCTTAACTATTTCTTTGGCCACAGGGATAAAGACTGAACAACAACAAGAAACAACTGAGCATGATAGAGTGTTCCACTGTACCATGTTTTCTTAGACATGGTTTGCAGCATAATTTATAACCATTCCATCAACAATGATTTAAATAAAGAAAACGATATAAAGCAGTTTGCATTTTCAACTTAGATTCAAGTAGAATACACAGAAAATACAACTAGTATTTGATCTTTATTCAAGAAAACTTTGCCACAGCTGAATCTGACTGTTCATGCTCATAATCCCAACACTTAGGGCAACAGAAGCAGATGGATCACCACAAATTTTCAGCCAATATGTACTTAGCCATTCATAATCAGCTAGGGTTAAAAAGTAAAACCCTACACTATGTCAAATAACAAAACAAGTCAGCACTAACAATGAATGAAGTTCCTACTGCTTTCAGCAAATACCAGTTCTAAAACAAGAGCCAAATATAGAATGAAAAAGAAAAACCCTCATTCACGCATTGGTAGGGCATAGAAATATAAGCAAACTGCATGGAAGTGGGGTGCATGCCTTTAATCCCAGCAATTGGGAGGCAGAGGCAGGCAGAGCTCTGTGAGTTTACAAAGCTACACAGAGAAAATCTGACTCCAAAAATCAAATAAAGAAAGAAGAAAAAATAGAAAGGAAGAAAGAAGACAAACACAATGAAGTAGAATCACACTTTCTATAATAGGATGAAACTTGAATAGAAAAATCCAAAACAAAAGATAAACATCCATTTTCAATATGAATCACTGCACTCTACTCAGGAATAGTTAACAAAAATGAGGTAAATACTTCAAAAAATAACGGCTTTAATAGAATTCAAAGCTATTGCGCACAGGAGCATTTTCACTTTCTTCAGCAATAGCCTGGGTCTGAAGGTTAGGAAATAATGGTTTAAAAAATTTAAACTCATTTGTTCCAGTACCTCCTTTCAGACACACCTCATACTGGTAGCTCTGAGACAGAGTCCCCGAGCCACCGATGTTCATCAAGTGACCAGGAAATTGTCCCTCAGGCAAAGAGCAATCACGCACAGAGGCCTCGGTGGCCCTCCTGCATAGCCTCACACCCACGAACAGGAGCACAGACAAGAGGAAGAGAGAAGACACAGACGCCAAGGCTATGACCAAATAGAGGGTAAGGACACCATCTTCATGGGTTATGTCACGTGCCACCTCGGGAAGAGGCAGGTAGGGCTGAGAGAAGCCATCCACCACCAGCACGTGCAGAGTAACACTGGCAGACCTCTGAGGATCGCCATTGTCCTTGACCAGCAGCAGCAGCCTGTGCTTGGGAGCATCGCGCTCACTCAGGAGCCTGGAGGTGCGCACCTCACCATTGTGAGCCCACACATTGAACAGCCCTGGTTCCGTAGCCTTGAGCAGCTGGAATGACAGCCAGGCATTCTGGCCAGAATCGCGATCCACTGCCACCACCTTGGTGACCAGGTAGCCAGGCTCTGCTACCCTGGGCAGCAGCTCAGTGCAGGGCGCAGAGGCGTTCTGCAAAGGGTAGAGCACGAAGGGCGCATTATCGTTGGCATCCAACACGACCACGCGCAACAGTGCTCGGCTGCTGAGGGCTGGTGAGCCTTGGTCTGTGGCTTCCACATGGAACTCGAAGGTCTGCAGGGCCTCATAGTCCAGCGCCCTGAGCGCGAACAGCTGCCCATTGTCTGCATTGATGGAGATGAGAGAGGAGAGGGCCAGCTGCGGGTCATGGGTGGGCAGCAGGGAGTAGGTGATACGGGCATTGGAGTCTGAGTCTGAATCTGTGGCGCTGATGGTGCCTATGTGCAGGGCAGGACTGTTGTTCTCCTGCACAAACAGGGTGTAGGAGGTTTCAGTAAAGGCAGGGGCGTTGTCGTTGACATCGGACACCTGCACTGTTATGGTGTGCTGGGTTGTGAGCCTGGGTGTGCCCATGTCGGTGACTGTGATGGTGATGTTGTACTCAGCTCTGCTCTCTCTGTCCAGTGGACCCTCTGTCATTAATGTGTAATAGTTCTTGAAAGTGGGTTTTAAGAGAAATGGGAGATCGTTCTGAATAGAGCACACCATCCTTCCATTGTCCCCAGAATCTGGGTCAGAAACACTGAAAACAGCAACTACAGTCTCTGGCAAGTTTTCTGGGATAGGGCTTGTGAGCTTGGAAATGGTCAGCTCTGGGGCGTTGTCATTCACATCCAACACCTGTACAGCCACAGTGCATTTCCCTGAAAGGCCTCCTCCATCCGTGGCCGCAATTTCTATGTTATACAGGTTAGTTACCTCGAAATCCAACTCTTTGCTAAGACGGATTTCTCCTGTGACTTCATCTATTACAAATGGTTGAGAAGCTCCACCACCTTGAAACAGAGAGTAGGCTACATTCCCATAAGGTCCCGCATCTAAATCCCTGGCAGAAACTGTCAATACTAAGGCACCAAGGAGGCTGTTCTCGGGGACCTGCACCTCATAGAGCGACTGTACGAACTGGGGAGCGTTATCATTGATGTCCATGACTTCAATATGAACTGTGATGGTCCCAGACCTGGGCGGAGACCCCCCATCCACAGCAGTGAGTGTTAAAGAGAGCTCAGGCTGCTCCTCCCTGTCCAGGGCTCTGTCCAGCACCAGCTCTGGGTATTTCCTGCCATCAGAGCGACTGTGAGTGACCACATGGAAATGGAGGTTGGGGCTGATTGTGTAGTTCTGAACAGCATTGCTCCCCATGTCAGAGTCCTGAGCTGCCTTCAGAGGAAACACAGTCCCTGGATGGACATTCTCGGGGATTTTTAGGAGCATTTCCCTGTGAGGGAACTCTGGAGAATGATCATTTATGTCTGTGAGCTGCAGGTCAGTTTGGAAGAACTGCACAGGGTTTTCCAGTATGAGCTGGAAGTGCAGCACACAGGGTTCTGTCACCCCACACAGCACCTCGCGATCTAGTTTTTCCTTTAAGAGCAAATTCCCAGTCTCTGTATCCAGCTGCAAGAGCTCTTTGTTTCCTTTGTAATGGATTTGCGCCCCTCTAGTGGCCAGTTCTCCCACCCTGAGCCCCAGATCTTTTTCCAGGTTAGCCACCAAGTAGCCAGTCTCTGTTTCTTCTGGCATGGAGTACCTAATTGCTTCAGAGCCAACCTCCCCCAAAAGCAACAATATAGTAAGAAAAAAGACTTGCCTTTTCTCTAGCGTTTTTGCTAGAGCTGTCTCCATTGTTCATAGGCTGTCCAGGGGATGCTGCTCCTTCAACTCGATTACAATCCACTCATGGGGGTTCGTGAAAATATTAAGGTAAATTGAGTTACAGACACTGTCTCCCCAAATTCTCCCAGTAGCTGTTCTCAATACCTTCTCCTTTAAACAGCCTCCGAAGTTCTGTTTCTCAGCTTAATGAGATGGCAACCTCGTCATCTGCAGAACCCATTCTTGATACTCTTAGCCTGCAGCGCCACCAAGCGTCCTTATTTGTTCTTGCATTCCAGTTTGCTCTTTCCTCCAAATTTCAACCATGATGTGTTTCAGTATCCATTTAATGTGTGTGTATATGTATGTGTGTATATATATATATATATATATATATATATATATATATATATATCCTGAATTGTAGGTCCAGTTCTTAGCAATTGGAAGTTCTAAATATCATATCATTTTTCTGAATTCAGGTTTGGTTGTAAGAATAAATTGTAGAATAAAAGAAAATGTCATTAAAGTTTTACTGTAGGCGTTCTGAGTAGATAAATAAATGAATCAGCTTTCTTGTGTAGGTTTATAACTTGATTATATATATACATTTTTATATGTTGCTTTGAAATATAACATAATCCAGAAGAGGAAAAAGTCATAATTTCATAACCCACTGAATTTTTATAATATTATTTAGTACTGCACAGACAAAAAAATAATAAAATAAATAAGCCAAATTCCAAGAGATTCTGGCCTGCTATTTTGGTTACTTTGCTTCTCTAAAAGATAAATATTATTCAAATGTAGTTGTTTCTAGACCATCAAATCATGAGAGTTCCAGTTGTCTCCTATCACTTTTAACTTATATGTTGTCTTCTCCATATTTAGAACTTTAGTGCTTGTGTGGTGACTTCACTGTGTTGTTTTCTCCTCTTGATTTTCTTTATGTGACCCAGTTTTGTGACACGCACCTACTGGTTGTTGGTACTTGTGTAAAATCTGTCCTCTTCCAGCAGGAGCTCAGCCTTTGCTCTTAGCTTGATAGAGCGCTATCTTGTACAGTCACTCTAACTCCAACAGGCACTAAACTTGGCCAGAATTCTCTGATGTCCTTAAAAACAATCTTGACAAATTTCAAGTTGCAAGCAGGAATTCTCTACATCGACTTGGCCGGGCAACTCCCAACCTGTAGACTTTGTACTTTGTACAGAATCTCATTCTGCCTTCAGAGGGTTTTCAAGTTATATTTTTAGTCTTCTCTCCTTGGATGCTGAGTTGACAAGTGTTCTGGGCAGGAAAAACTGGCCCTGGGCTCGAGTTTTCCATACTGTAGGAGACTACTTAATTATGGTGTCTATATCAAGAACCTATTGATTATTCCTTAAACAAATTGTCTGTAAGACTGAGTTCTCTAATATAAGCGGCTTCCTGTTGTATTGAAGGGATAATTTCCAATATTTGTTCAGTTTTTATGGCTGTTTTCCGATGTCAGATAATCCATCTGTGTTGGAGGGGAATTCTGCCAAACACATGAATAATATATAACTTTGTATTTTAAACTATACAACTGTTTGTGACTTTTGATTAAGGAGGAGATTGAACCTAGGGATGTGTATCTATTAGGCAAATGTCCTACTATGGGACTACAACAGCAGACCTTGTTTTTTTCAGTTCAGGCTGGCATCCTGAATACTGGACGTCATACTAGAAGTGGTATCTTGGCATGTAACCAGCAGGTCATTAGAGTTATCTGTCATATTTGAGAATTGCATGTTTGTTTCTCTTTGCTTTTTCTCCTTTTTTACCTCTTTCTCACTTTAATTTTAAAATTACATAACCAAAATTACACATCATGGAAAAGAGAGGGTCAGCAATTTTATTTTTATATTTCATTACATCCTTAGGGGAGGAAATATTAATTCAGGGAAAGGTGAAAATACTTAAACCCCATAGGAATGACACTTGAGATTTAAAACATACAAGGATAAACATGATTTATGTGTATACATTATGTTCAGGCATGAAAACTTCATTAAGGGAAATCCATTGCTTTGTACAATGAGTATATACTAACTAAAAAGTAAAACATAAAAGATATTAGATTATAAACCAAGCTCTTCAATTGTTCATATTCTGGCAAAAGTTGAATAAAGTTTTCTCGCAGTTCTATCACATAATGGGTTTTTTTGACTCATTTGAATATAAATTCAGTATAATTCAGTTTAATTCATTATATTTCAAGTCAATTAAGAACCAATACTTTTAGTATTATGTAATAGGCAGCACAATTGAAATATTAAATTAACTGAGAATAATTCAAGGTTACACCAAATAAAGCAAGTGATAATTAAATATCACAAAGGAATTATTTTGTTTTGCATATCTACAAAATAATATAAAGTGAAAGTTATCAGAACTGATAACCAGAATCAAATAGAATATTGAAATTTCCAGAAATCTCCAGAGTGTTTTGAAAGGTGAGGAGAAGCTGCAGGAAAACTAAAGGAAACACATACATTACTACAAACTAGAACAGGTCACAGGGAACATCACACTTAGAATGCACAGGTCACTGGGTGTGGTCTGCACACAGGCTGTCTTGGTTACATTTCCCATTCATAGGGTAAGGTAGAAAGGGTGTTTGGCTCACAGCTCAAGACTCCACTATGCTAGGGAAGGTAAAAGTCAAGAGTTTCACCAAGATCACACTTCATCTCCAGGCAGGAAGAAGAGAGAAATGAGGCTTGTGCTTAGCCCAGTTTGTCCTCCTCATACAATCCAGGATCCCAGCCCAGGGAATGGTGCTACCCACAATGGTCTTCCTACCTCAGTTAACCTAGTTTGATAATCCTCCATAGGCATGCCCAGAAGGCAGGTGGTTCTAGAGAACATTCCAGTTCACACCCGTTAAACCACTCCATTTACACATTTATTCATAGACCAGAAAGATGAAATGAGAGAGCTTGTTTGGAGGTTTTAGCAGGGGAGTGCAGCTACTCATATACCCTTGACCGAAGACTGGTCCTCCTCTATTTGGGGATGGTCATCCTCTTTGACCCAGTGCACAGCTTTAGGAGGGAAGCACATGATGCTGTGAGGGAAGAAAGGGACATTGACCTAGCCAGCCAGATCAGCCAAATCAACCCTGGTGATCGATATAGGCCAGGCAATCAAAGCCAGATTGCCCTCACATCCATGGGAGCCCATTGCCTATGAAGGGACACTCTTTCAGCCTAGATACACAGGGGAGGACCTAGGTCCTGCACCAAATGATGTGTCAGACTTTGATGATCCTTTATGGGAGGCCTCACCCTCCCTGGAGAGTGGATGAGGGCTGGGATGGGGGATTGGAGGAGGGCATGGGAGGACTGGAGGGAGAAGGAATTGGAGGGAGAGGGAACTGAGATTGGTATGTAAAATAAGATTGTTTTAATTTAAATAAAATTTTATTTAAAAAAAGATAATATGAGACCATGAAAAGTCTTGATTCTTTGGAGGATTTCAGGGTTACTTCTGCTATTCAGATTAGTTTTTGAACAGTACTGTGTCAAGCAATGATTTAACAGGTGGGGTTGTCCATTGTTTTTGTGCTTGGAAGTTTACCTAGGACCTGGCATGTGTGTATGCTCCACCACTGAGTACACCCTCAGTCTCCAACACTTTTGTTTAGTGACAGAGGTGAAAATTAATAATATGTAAAGTTATCACTTTAATATTTGCAAATGAGATTTTTTAAAATGAATGTTTATAGAATAATTGCTAGGTATATGGTGGACAACTACTGCAGAAAACCTCTACCATATGTGATCCATATAAGAAGAAAAAGGCTACAATTCTAGTGTCTTAATATTTTAATACACTGAATGTTTATAATTTGGAAGACAAGTATGTTAATTGTTAGACTCAAGACTCCTCAGGGTAATTGTAAGGAACTTCAGCTGTGAGTAAAGCTCACTAACTGAATGTAAGGTGAGCACATAAGAGGTCCTATATTTAATATCCAATAGAAATAGAATAAAGTGAAAAATATGAAAACACCTTGGCCACAAAAAGTTGAAATTTTGTGATTAAAACAGGTAAAATAGTAAGTAGCATTTGGGAGACAGAGAGAGATGGATGTCCAGCAGTTTGAAACAAGCCTGGTAAACACACAGAGTTCTAGGATAGCCAGACCTACACACTGAAAAAGACCAACCAAACTAACAAACAAAACCCAAAACAGGTAAAGTAAAATGTACATTGTTATGAAATATTCGAGTAAAATCGAAGTTGAAATACATAAGTTGTGTTATTCATATCCATTATATGTGAAATTACTGAAGTATATATGAATAAAGAAATTTTAAACACATTTTAGGAATGGAGGTCAAGCACATGCTTCAATTCTAATGTCAACACTAAGATAAAATGATTCATTTTCAAAGAGAACAGTACTGCTAGAGATTCACTGAACCAGATAAAACAACTAACTGAATACAAAGCTATCACTGCAGTGAGGACTTTCCTTGCATTCCATCACAGCAACCCGAAGTAACATGTTGGAGATCAAGGGTTTAAGAAATTTAAACTCACCAGTCCCAGAGTCTCCCCTGAGGCACCTCATACTGGTAGTTCTGGGACAGGGTCCCAGCGCTACTAACATCCACCAGGTGACCAGGAAAGTGACCCTCAGGAACAGAGCAGCCACTCAGAGAGGCCAACCTGGCTCTCCTGCACAGCTTCACCCCCACAAACAGCAGCACAGACAAGAGGAAGAGCGAAGACACACATGCCAAAGCAATGATCAGGTACAGTGTGAGTGAGTCCTCATCATGTGCATGGTCCCGCGCTACCTCAGGCAGAGGCAGGTAGGGCTGAGAGAAGCCATCCACCACCAGCACGTGCAGAGTAACACTGGCAGACCTCTGAGGATCACCATTGTCCTTGACCAGCAGCAGCAGCCTGTGCTTGGGAGCATCGCGCTCATTCAGGAGCCTGGAGGTGTGCACCTCGCCATTGTGAGCCCACACATCGAACAGTCCTGGCTCCGTGGCTTTAAGCAGCTGGAAGGACAGCCAGGAATTCTGGCCAGAGTCTCGGTCAACTGCCACCACCTTGGTGACCAGGTAGCCAGGCTCTGCTGCCTTGGGCAGCAGCTCCATGCAAGGTGCAGAGGCATTCTGCAAAGGGTAGAGCACGAAGGGCGCATTGTCGTTGGTGTCCATCATGAACACCCTCACCAGCACCTGGCTGCTGAGCGCTGGTGAGCCTTGGTCTGTGGCTTCCACACGGAACTCGAAGGTCTGCAGGGCCTCATAGTCCAGCGCCCTGAGCGCGAACAGCTGCCCATTGTCTGCATTGATGGAGATGAGAGAGGAGAGGGCCAGCTGCGGGTCATGGGTGGGCAGCAGGGAGTAGGTGATACGGGCATTGGAGCCTGAGTCTGAATCTGTGGCGCTGATGGTGCCTATGTGCAGGGCAGGACTGTTGTTTTCCTGCACAAACAGGGTGTAGGAGGTTTCAGTAAAGGCAGGGGCGTTGTCGTTGACATCGGACACCTGCACTGTTATGGTGTGCTGGGTTGTGAGCCTGGGTGTGCCCATGTCGGTGACTGTGATGGTGATGTTGTACTCAGCTCTGCTCTCTCTGTCCAGTGGACCCTCTGTCATTAATGTGTAATAGTTCTTGAAAGTGGGTTTTAAGAGAAATGGGAGATCGTTCTGAATAGAGCACACCATCCTTCCATTGTCCCCAGAATCTGGGTCAGAAACACTGAAAACAGCAACTACAGTCTCTGGCAAGTTTTCTGGGATAGGGCTTGTGAGCTTGGAAATGGTCAGCTCTGGGGCGTTGTCATTCACATCCAACACCTGTACAGCCACAGTGCATTTCCCTGAAAGGCCTCCTCCATCCGTGGCCGCAATTTCTATGTTATACAGGTTAGTTACCTCGAAATCCAACTCTTTGCTAAGACGGATTTCTCCTGTGACTTCATCTATTACAAATGGTTGAGAAGCTCCACCACCTTGAAACAGAGAGTAGGCTACATTCCCATAAGGTCCCGCATCTAAATCCCTGGCAGAAACTGTCAATACTAAGGCACCAAGGAGGCTGTTCTCGGGGACCTGCACCTCATAGAGCGACTGTACGAACTGGGGAGCGTTATCATTGATGTCCACGACTTCAATGCGAACTGTGGTTGTCCCAGACCTGAGTGGAGTCCCTCCATCCACAGCAGTGAGTGTTAAAGTGAGCTCAGGCTGCTCCTCCCTGTCCAGGGCTCTGTCCAGCACCAGCTCTGGGTATTTCCTGCCATCAGAGCGACTGTGAGTGACCACATGGAAATGGATGTTGAGGCTGACTGTATAGTTCTGAACAGCATTGCTCCCCATGTCAGAGTCCTGAGCTGCCTTCAGAGGAAACACAGTCCCTGGATGGGCGCTCTCGGGGATTTTTAGGAGCATTTCCCTGTGAGGAAACTCTGGAGAATGATCATTTATGTCTGTGAGCTGCAGGTCAGTTTGGAAGAACTGCACAGGGTTTTCCAGTATGAGCTGGAAGGGCAGCACACAGGGTTCTGTCACCCCACACAGCACCTCGCGATCTAGTTTTTCCTTTAAGAGCAAATTCCCAGTCTCTGTATCCAGCTGCAAGAGCTCTTTGTTTCCTTTGTAATGGATTTGCGCCCCTCTAGTGGCCAGTTCTCCCACCCTGAGCCCCAGATCTTTTTCCAGGTTAGCCACCAAGTAGCCAGTCTCTGTTTCTTCTGGCATGGAGTACCTAATTGCTTCAGAGCCAACCTCCCCCAAAAGCAACAATATAGTAAGAAAAAAGACTTGCCTTTTCTCTAGCGTTTTTGCTAGAGCTGTCTCCATTGTTCATAGGCTGTCCAGGGGATGCTGCTCCTTCAACTCGATTACAATCCACTCATGGGGGTTCGTGAAAATATTAAGGTAAATTGAGTTACAGACAGTCTCCCCAAATTCTCCCAGTAGCTGTTCTCAATACCTTCTCCTTCAAACAGCCTCCGAAGTTCTGTTTCTCAGCTTAATGACATGGCATCCTCGTCATCTGCAGAGCCCATTCTTGATACTCTTAGCCTGCAGCGCCACCAAGCGTCCTTATTTGTTCTTGCATTCCATTTTACCATTTCCTTCTAAATTTTAACATTTAAGAGTTTAAGCATCTTTTTAATTTACACGCGAGTATGAATTTTAAGACCACTTTTAGAAATTGGAAGTTCTAAATATAATTTTATTGAATTAAATTTTGCTTGTAAGAACACGTTTTAGGACAAATTCATTTGGCATTAATGTTTTGTCATCAGAGTCCCAAGTATATGAATAGCTCTCTTGTGTAGGTTTACAATTTGTTTTGTTCAAGAAACTAACGACAATGTACATATAGAAATTTTATTGTATACTTTTTATACATCCTTTGAAATATAACATACATCCAGAAAGGAGAAAAAGTTATATTTACATAACCCATTGAATTTTTATACTATCACTTAGCTCAGCCTAGATAAAATAAAATAAAATAGGCTAAATTCCATGAGAATCTGGCCTTCTATTGTTTGGTTACTTTGCTTCTCCAAAAGATATACCTTTTTTTCATGTGTAGTTGTACCAAGACCATCCAAGCACAAGCACGAGAGCTCCAGTTATCTCATATCCTTGTTAGTGTTTGGTGTTGTCATCTCGACTTTCATAACTTTAGTGTTTAGTGTGTCGTGACCTCATGCATAAACTTAATAAGCATTTGCCTGTCTTTCATGAGTTGATGCACACTTTTATGTTGACTGTCCATCAGAATAGGGTCTTGTGAGGAGTGTGTTCAGGTCTTTTATATATGTTTCTGATATGGGGCTTCTATTTGCTTGCTTGTTGCTCTGAAGAAGTGTTTTGTGTTTTCTGTATAATCTCTTTTTCAGATACATATGCTAAAACATTCCCCACTCCCTGCCTTGAATATTGTTGATAGCGTGGTTTGATCAATAAAATATCTTAATTGCGTTTAGTTTAATATTGTAATACTTTTTAATTTTGTTTAATACTTTTAAATTCTCCATAGTTTAAGGTCATAAAGTGTGTAGATTCTGAAAGTTTGCTTTTCATTTATAAACTTATTCACTTAAAATATGTCTTCAGTGAATTAAGTTGAGGTTCTTGATTTCCAAATGCCTTTACATCATGTTACAAAGATGAGGACTATCACTGTCCTGAATCAGAGTGGTTACAGGTCTGCCTCAGTGTTCCAGTTTTCTCTCCGATGGTCATGTAATACTCTTGTCTTCAGTACTCCAGACTTATATCACAGATTTTATTGAGATGAAAGTCTCATTTTTAAAGGAGTCTACTTTTAAGGAGTGGTTATAAAAATCAGATAAAAGGACCTGGAAATGCAGATATTTCCTCTTACACCATGTGCAGCCTTCCTCACTATAGGTATCCCCTGCCGAACTGGTAGGTTTCTTACAAATGATGTGCCTATGTGTGTACCACTGAATCCATATTTTAAATTAGGACTTCCTCTAGGTGCTATTTCAGGTGTAGGCATGGCTAAATTTAATCATACATGCACATACTTTTTAGAATATCAGTTTCAGTGTCTCTTCCCACCCTTCCACCCATCGCTAAATCTATCTCTATTATGTCTTATTAGAAATTTTGCAAATCACTGACAGTTTTACTTCCTTTATAGTCAGAATTTTACAGTATTCTTTTTCCCCAGCTTGGCGTCTATGACTTACTAATATGCATATAAATTTCTTAATGGCTTTATGTAGATTGATGCCTCATTTCTTTTTGTTGTTGAATAGCAATTTTCCTTATGGGACCCCATAGAGATAGAGGACTGCAGCATCCTCTGGAACTAGACTTACAGGTGGATTTGTTGAGACCAAAACTGGATCCTCTGGAAAAACAGCAAGGGGTCATAACCACTGAAACACCTCTCAATGTCTCCTCCTACATTTTAAAAAGACTTGTTTTATTTATTTTGTGTTTTGCATATGTGAATAAATGTCATGAGAGTGTGAATGTTCCTTGAAAATGGTGTTGCATCCCTAAGAGCTGGAGTAAGGCAGTTGTGATCCCCTAACAAGGGGAGGTGCTGAAAACCAACCTCAGATCCACTTTCCCTAAACTGCTGAGCCTTCTCCTCAAGACTTAAAAATGTTCCCTATTTATTTTATATCAGCATGCATTCTGTATTCATTTATTTCCATGAAGTTTTACCATTTATAGAGTTTTATGACACATATATATTTTTATTATGGAACTGACTTTGAGTCTTAAGTTATCAATTGTCTTTCTACTTACTTTCTAAATTGTAACTTGTTCTGAAAATATTAACCATTTTATTTTAATGACATATGGGTCTTCTAGGTAATTATGTTATGTTTTCTCCTCTTACTTTTCTTTATATTATCTGGTTTTGTGGTGTACACTTACTGATTGTTGGTATTTGTGTAAAATCTGTCCACAACCATGACCCCATTTTCCCTTCCAGCAGGAGCTCACCCTTTGCTCTTAGCTTGAGAGAGCACTGTCTCTAACTTTAACAGGCACTAAACTTGGTCAAGGATCTCTGAAATCCTTACAAGCAATACCTTTTGACAAATTTCAAGTTGCCAACATGAATTCTCTACATCAACTCTTCCAGGCAGGTTCCAACCTGTAGTCTTTATGTTTTGTACAAAACTTCATTCTTCCTTCAGAGGGTTTTCAAGTTATATTTTTAGTCTTCTCTTCTTGGCTACTGAGTTGACAAGTGTCCTGGGAAGGAAAACTGGCCCTAGGCTCGAGTTTTCTACTCTGTCAGACGTTATTTAATTATGGTGTCTATATCAAGAACCTATTGATTATTCCTTAAGCAAACTGTAATACTGAGTTCTCATGTAAGTGGCTTCCTGATGCATTAAAGGGATAATTTCCGACATTTGGTAAGTTTTTATGGTTTTCCGATGTCAGATAATCCATCTATGTTGGAGGGGAATTTAATCAAATATATGTATAATTTCTAACTTCAATTTTAAAATATATGAATTTTGTGACTTTCGATCATGATGGAAGATGTGGATAATTTTTCTTCCTAATACTAAGGAGATTGAACAGAGGAACTTGCACTTATTAGGTAAATGTCCGACTGTTGGACTATAACAGCAAACCTTAGCTTTTTCAGTTCAAAATTGTATCCTGAGTACTGGACACTGTTTACTCTTGCACTCTGAGTACTGGACACCACACCAGAAAAGTGTGCACGCAATGCACACTCTTGGCATGCAATGAGCAAGCCATCAGAATTTTCTGCCATATTAAAGTCTTACATTTACCTTTTCTCACTTTTATCTCTTTCCCACTTCAATTTTAAAATTAAATAACCAAGAATTACATTTCAAGGATAAGGGATGATCAGCAATTTTCTTTTTATATTTCATTACATGTTTAGGGGAAAAAACATTAATTCAGGGAAAGATGCAAATACTTGAACTCCAGGTGACACTTGAGATTTAAAAACAAACAAAAGGTAAACATGATCAATATGTATAAATTTGTACAGGTATGAAAACTTCATAAGAAATCCATTGTTTTGTATAAAGAGTACACCCTAACTAAAAAGTAAAATATATAAAGATACTAGATTATAAACCAAGCTCTTCAATTATTCCTACCCTGCCAAAAGTTCACCAAAGTTTTCTTGCCACTGTATCCGTACAAATTTACCAAGTTGTCAATAAGCTTAATCATAAGTTAATTTAATTCAGTTAAATTCATTATAGTTGAATTAAAAACCAATTATTTTTGTACCATGGAACAGTGAGCACAACTGAAAAATTAAATTAATTGAGAATACTGTACTGTTATACCAAATAACAAAACAGGAGATATAGGGGTTCCATAGTTTCCATTTGAGTCTAGGGATGTTTTATATTCTTCCAATGTCTTTAATGGCTCACTATTCATTCACATCTGTATTGTTTTGACTCTTTGTATTTGTTTGTTTCTGTGACTTTTCACAGTTTTAGTCCACCATGACCTGACTATTATCAGCTTTCATGGTATTAAGGGCAAGCACCAACAAGCTCAGCTGTCATCATTACACAGTTTCAGGCAAAATGGAAGCATTAGGCTCTTACATCTTAGTCTAACTTCCTTAGAACTGGTTTTCACAACCAATCATAGATGGTGTCTAGAGCCACCCAGCAC